CTCATAACTGTGTATAAACCTAAAAGAACTCTCCGCTCATCCAAGGAACTGCTTCTTGTTACTTGTCCGTACAATCTTAAATCTTATGGTTATCGTTGTTTTTCTGTGTCTGCTCCTGTTCTATGGAATTCACTACCGTCTCCTCTTAGAAACACTTCATGTCTAAAAACTTTTAAGAAAAACCTTAAGACTCATTTGTTTAAACTAGCTTTTGAATTATAATTTATATATATTTTACAGCGCTTAGAGCCGACTTGTATAGGCRCTATATAAATCATATTATATTATATTAATAAAGTTGATAAATAACTTAAAGTGTAATAAAAAAAATGTTGGCGCTTCATGCGTCTTGAAATCTTTGTTTGTTCCTCTTTGTTTCGGGGTGTATTTCATTCTTGGTCGGGTGGAGTCTAGACATTAAAGGACATTTTTCAGCTGTTGTTTTATTTCTTTTATTTTTTATTTTTATGGGTCAGACAATAAATGTCACACAATAAAGGTTCGATGTTCTTTTATTATCAACAGCGTGATCTAATAAATTCGAATCAAAGAAAATTACTTCAAACCCCCGAAAAAATGTTTGTCACAGAAAAATTGAAAATTCACACCCAAAAACACAAAATTAGAGGTCACGTGACTAATTAACATAATATTGATTTCCCCCCTAAAACAAGCCTTTTTTCGAGTTTTTATCATCCATGGAGTGCTAGGAAGAGTTTTTCTAGTGATGTTTCATGTTTTTGGCAAAACAAATTGCTCAAAAACCGTCTAATTTTCGCCTAAATATCAATTTTTTGGCGGGCTTCCTGTGTAAAGTGCTAGTATCCAGGCTCTTGGTGTAACTTGTGTTCATTTCAATCTTGTTCCCTTCGCGGTTCGACGTGTGTCAATCTGTGGAAATATAAAGAGAAGCTTTTACAAGAACAAAAAAAAATTATTAGCTCGTGCTTCACCTAACAGAGAGATAAGGACACGAGAACTATGAAAGGTAAGAATTATTATGTTTTTCTGCGTTATTCTGGCGTTTTTCCGTATTTTTAACCAGTTTAAAGATTTCGAAAGTTCGATTGACCGCCATGACACGTGTTGGCTTTGAACTCTGAGAATTCCACTTTTTCTGAGAAAAATACAATTAAATTTAACATAAATGTGTAATTTTAGGAATTTTTGAAACAGTGTGTAAGCATAGTTTGAGCATATTTTCATTTTTTTCACATATTTTGAAACTTTGGTTTTCATCGTTACACTAAACTTAGTTTTTGAAACTTTAAAACCTTTAGAACCATGAAAATCCTAAATATTAATTTCTTAATGACTTATCTTTCTTTGTATTGCAGTTTTAAAAGTATAACTTACGCGTGAAACACTCCATAAGGCTGTCCAGTGATCTGAACCTCATTACCATACTGCATCTTGACTCTAACCAATATATAATGGAATACTTAAGTATTAATTTGGTAATGATGGGTATACTGCACTAAAACAAGAAGCAAAAACACTTGATAACAATATGGACTCACCTTGATGAGCATTGATCTGAGTATCAACCTGGGGGGTGACCCTGTGACCTTCATAACAATATGGACTCAATTTGTTGCTGTATGGGTGTTGACCTGAATATCAACCTGATGACCCCGTGACCTTCATAACAATATGAACTCACCTTGTTACCACAAAAATGTTGTTCATATCCCAAGCAGCAGTTTATTACTAATCATCAGGTATGTATATTACTCTGCAGAACAATTTCATACATAAGTTAGTTATACAATGCTTTGTTGTGGCACTCTATGGGCTTTTGTATCTCAAAACCAACATGGTAGATGTCAGACAACCACAGGGTTCCCACTGTACAACATGGTCTACTGCTGACCAGTATACTGACAACTAAAGGATAGACATGGATTATCCAGTATAGAAAATTTCTAGAATGAAGTCACAACTAGTAACTGCTAGTAATACAATTATCCTAAACAGATTGATTCAGGTTTCTAAACAGATCTCTTTCACTTTTTCAACAGCTTGATGACAAGTATTGGTATGTGTCATCATTAGATTGTGATGATATTACATTGCATCAAGCTATTGCCAGCAGATGTATGACAGACAAGTAAGTTAAACTATTAGCTATGTTATAGAATATAGAAATACATCCATTCCAAATTAGTTTTTCTATTGTAACTACAGCATGGGATGCTTGATATGCTGTAAAAGTACTTTTTTAAGACAAAATTGAAAACAAAATGGTTCATAATAGACCTCTCCACCTTATTTGGCTTAATGTTTTCTTATTCCAGACCACATATCCTTCTCTTGAGAATAAGATTCTTTGTTTGGGTTGTATTCTAATTACTGTGTCTTCTTATGTGAACCATTAAACAAAGAAATAATACTCTAGGGAATGACTTGTAAACTGAAATCAATATCTTTGACTTTTTCAACAGGTTGTCAGCATCTTCAGCCAAACATCATGTTGTCATAGTGATGTTGTCAAGGCCTGGACAGTCAGCACACATGACAAACAAGTAAGTTTACCCATACACTGCAGCACCTCCCTTACGATAAGCAATAGTTTCCAAGCAAAGTATTGTGTTGAAGAAATCATTGAAACTTGTATCCATAACTTGGTGGAGACATGCTAAACAAAAACTTATGAATGATTCATAAACCTTTGGTCAAATATACTCTATTTCATTTTGACATCACATGACAACAATCTTTAGTTTTAACACTAAGAATGATGGTCGTTGAAGGGAGACAAAACACCAACAACAAAAAGTAAACTGAAAAATTGTGTTTTTTAAAACTCAAAAAAGCAATAATTGGCACCAAATACCATATATATTGTTAGATAAACACTGGAATATGAAATATTTGAAAACCATACATATCAGAGCTGTCAATTCAGCTACAGAGTAAAAGCATTGCAAATTCTTATTGTTGTTTACCATTCTGTCTCCCGTATAAACAAGCTGTGACGTGATAGTGACATACATAGTGTTTTAGTGACCACACACATTATGTGCTTGGACCTTTGAACTCAATAAAGTCCTCTTCATTAGTATTCAAGGGGTTGTTATATAATGCCATGTCTTTATACATAAAGAGTACTAATGAGGATGACCTTATAAGAAGGAGATAAAGCTACATCCACATATATTTGAAAACTTAAATTCTCATAAAGGTCAGTTTTCAGTATGATTACTGACAACCTACAAAATCTCTTTCGCTAGCACCATTGTCTTGCAATTGGCATGCTAGAGACTCAGATCTCTGATTTTTTTCCAACAGCTTGTCAGCCTCTCAGCCAAGGATCATGTTGTCATGGTGATGATGCTGTCAAGTCCTGGCCAGCAGATAGATGACAGACAAGTAAGTTTAGCTATTGGATATATAATAATGTTAATATAAGCATACGCCTCTCATACTTGATGGAATATGTAAGACAATCTAAAACTAGCAGTCAATCAATAATAATAAATAAAATATTGAATTTCACCAATTGGCTCCTCCACTGGATTCCAATTGGAATTTGTAACCTGATTTCTGCCAAGGGAGAAAAGCTGGAGCCCCCAGAGAAAAACCCTTGAAGCACGAGAAGGAAACAATGAGCAATAGACCTCCTGGCCCAGGCATAATATTTTTCCATTTCAGACCACATGTCATTCCCTTGAGAATTAATATGATTCTTTGTTTGAGTTATATTCATATTCATGTGTCTTCTCATGTGAATTAAACCAAGCGCAACCATTAAACAAAGAAATGATACTCTAGGGAAAGCCATGTCGTCTGAAATGGGAATATGCAACACAAAGTCTAGGAATCAAACATGGGTTACCTTGGTGAGAGGAGAGTACTTTTGCTGCTGCACTACACATATTTACACCCACGTCCAAGTTACATACTGTATAACTTTGCCATTTGAACCTGATGCATGTATCTGATGTATGTTACTGAAACAGGCAACAAAATTTTGACCATTTCGTTCCATTTTTTTCTAGCTACACCAAATCTGTCATATTCAGTTATACCAAGCTGTTGTGCTGCAAAGCCTTGTAAGATGATGCAGCACCATCAACATCCAGTCAATCAGTACTCAAGACAGGAATCATCTACCAACAATAAGGGTGTCATGCCATCAATATAAGTAACATGGTTTATAGATACAAATCTAGAACCATTCAGGGATTTCCAAAAAAAATAAATAAAAATAGTCAAGCATTTTTCAGAAATGACTTACAAAGAAATGAAAACAAATTAAAAGGGTACTACCTAGGCCTAGGAGAAAGCATATCTTGTATAAACATAAACAATGTTAAAGAGGAAAAAAAAAAACATTACCAAAACACAAGCATTTCAAAGGGGAATTTTGTAGAATTAAAAAAAATTTCAAGATGAATTTGAAAGAATTTCAAGGCTTTACCTAGGCCTAGGAGTAACTAACTATTATTGGAGGGAAAAAAAAAAAAAAAAAAAAAAAAAAA